TTTTTGTTTTTTTTTTTTGTGGGTCACCTTTTACTACTGTTGCTACAATTATTACTACTACTACCTCGTATTCATGCGATCCCCTGAGGTTTTTACTTTTTAGTGGGTTTCATCTCTAGCCTACCCCCAACTTATTTAGGACAAAAGGCTTTGTTGTTGTTTTAGTAAACCTTGTCAGTGGCTAGTAATCCTCCAAACTCCAAAGGTAGCTTAACCAATTCACAGTTATAAGTTATAACCATAAACTACTTAGTCCAGGCTGGAATAGAACTCTCAAGTGCAGAGTAGTTCGATGGCAACAAGTTGATAGCCAGAGCATAGGTAACCAGTTCCAACATAAATTCACAGTATACATAAGTTAGATGACCAATGAAAATGTGATGGAAGTACGATTGTAGCAAAGACAAAAGGTCTTAACTATCTTTCAGTTGCACTGAATTTTGTCAGGAAGCTTGTCAGCTGTTATTCCTTCTAAGACTTGAGAGAGCCTGTTAACTGTTCAGTTTTGTCAAAATGTTAACAAACTTGAGTTTCACATGACCTAAATGCAAATATCTATGCTCTTTCCATTCTAAAAAGGTTCCAATACCTCCATGCGACCAAACAAAGTTCTGAGTTCTCATTCTACAAATTATTAAACCAGTTCCACTACTCTACACTGTAGTAAAAAAAATCCAGAATTGAGGATTGTATTAAGTAGTATTAGCCTAATGACAATCTTTAAAGTTGTCACAATGGGAAATTCCAAGCACTTAATGTTTTCCCAAGAAACTTGTTACAAATTACATTGTTGCAGCCTTGCAGTATGCTTTCTAGATTCCATAGTATTACTATCTAATATGCATTCTCCATCTAGATTCCGTAGTATCATGCACTCGACCCTCTCAAGTCATGATACAACCCTGGCAATAACATTTGTGTTCGCTTATTTTTTCCATTTAAACAACTATAATACAGAGGAGCTTATCTGGACTGGAACCTATCAAAACTAAACTTATGCATTGCTAAAGGGTGCATAATTTGACCATAAGTCTTTCCTAATCTTAGCACACCAAAATTAAAGAGCTACGATGTTTCAAAAATAATATTTAATTTGTGCATCCTAAATGATATGTAGCAGGTAACAATTTAAAGTCGTATTTAACACATTAGAAATATGACGTGCTTCAGACAGAACAAATCAAAGCATCCAGTAGTTACATTCATGATTAATGACATTACCCTTGGAAAGAGAGCCCTGCACGAACCGCACCAGGTTCCATAGAACTCAACAATAACAAGCCTGTCTCCAGCATCTCTAAGTGCATCCAAGAACTCCACTGTGGAGTGGATGTCAATCATGTTTGGTCCAGCATTTTTCTCCCACCATTTTGGTTGCTCGCCACTCTCTGGCTCTGCTGCATAAGTCTGGAATAATCAACACGACAAAACCATAACAATCAAACACCCTGCAGTGTAAACTAAGTAGCATAGTCCCGCATGACTGAACACAGCACACAAGCCTTTCTTTAAAACATGCACAAGTTCAACCAAGCAAGAATAACACAGTTCAACTAAAATAAAGTGCAATTGAATATACCACACGTCCTGGTGAACTACTTAGACATGGAGAGGGAAAAAGGTAGCACTTAACACGCTGTTTAACACAACATGAAGTAATGAACCTAAAAGGAACAAGCACCAATGCACTATGTAATTCGCATAGTACAGTGCTTACACACTACTTAACACCAACATGAAGTCATGAACCTAAATGGAACAAGCACCAATGCACTATGTAATTCGCATAGTACAGTGCTTACAGTTAGTCACTGGTATGCATTTCCTTTTCACATGGTACAAGCAATAGAAACAATAGTAGATTCACAACTAAACGCCAGGCACTCCCAAATCTAGAACAAGGACACTGGAAACGAAGAGGTGTAATTCAACAAATTAGTGGACTTACCTTATGAACAACTGCTCAATGAGCAATGAAACATTAAAGGCACAGAAGAAACCACGAAATTCACCTACGATTTTACTCGCTCGTAAATGGCATGGAACTGCAAGGGCTCCTCCGCGGTACAACAAGCGTGTACCCTCTAATCTAGAGAGGCAATACAAAGCACTTCAGAAACGCCACAAAGGACTTACCTTGTGTCGAGTGAGCCGACGAGGCCGGGGTTGCGGGTGAGCGCCCGCCAGGCGCGCCCGCCGCGGGGAGCCGGGCGACGAGAGCACCCAACGACACGGCGGGGACGAAGAGGCGGATGAAGAGGCGCCGGATGCGGCTGACGACGGTGCGAAGAAGCGGCGCGGAAGGAGGAGAGCGTCGGCCATCGGTGGGTTCACCACTCCGGGCGCCAGCTAGACGGCCGCCGCTCTAGGCGCCAGCGCAGGGGGCATCCGAGTGCGGGGAGGCGGCGCGCGCGAGCGCGGAGAAGCTACGGGTGAGGAGTCGGCTCCGGCCGCCTCTCCGCTCTGCTGCTTCGTAAGGGACGGGGAGGGTGTGGTGGAGATGGGGCTGGCTGACGGATCGCGTCGGGCGTCGCCGTGGATGGAGAGATTTGGGTAGCGGAAATGATGCTACACGAGAAAGCCCTGAGACTGTCACTGGTGAGTGGGCCAGAGGTTGCATTTAGTGGATTCGATGCTCCCAAATTTGCAGATTTTGAACAACGATAAGCAAGACCTACTGCTATCTCCAACAAAACAAGCTAGCTATCTATATCTATCTATCTATCTATCTATCTATCTATCTACGATAATGCTCTCTGCCTAGCGTCCGTCTGGTCAGACAGGACGGACCCGCCTGTCACTGTCTCATGCCTGCACCTCGTGCTTCGCACGCCCCACCTAGGCCTCGTGCCTCGCGCCACGTGCTACTTTCGCCTTGTGTCGTCTGCGCCTCGCGCTACGCGCTGCCGCACCTAGCACCTCTCATCTGGACTCGCGCTGCGCCCAGTCAAGGTCCGGCCTCCACGTCGTGGCATCGAGCTCCGTGCCGGTGTCAAGCTTCGCATCAACGAGCGTCCATTGGAGGCAGCAAGTAGATGAGCATATGTTGCAACCTATGTTTCATGCGTTTTAGATGTATGTTGCATATGTTTTATTTGGATGTTGCAAAAGTAGATTTAATGTTGCATATGTTGCAATGACTATATACGTATGTTGCAAGTGTATGTTTCAAATGTTTTAGTTGTTTCAAACGTACGTTGCAAGTGTTTTATCTAGATGTTGCATTGACTATACATGTATGTTGCAAGTGTATGTTTCAAATGTTTTAGTTGTTTTAAACGTATGTTGCATATATTGCAGTGCCCATACACATATGTTGCATTGGCTTTTTATTTTGCAAGTGTTTCATGCGCAGGCGTGGCAAGGGGGCGCAGGCGAAGGTGATCCCCTCGGGCGCAGTGGTCCCCACGTGCGCAGCAGCAGGCGGGGAGCACAAAAGCCGTATCCATGGGTGTGGCAGCAAGCGCGGAGCACGAAGTTGCATCCACGGGAGGGTAGCAAGTGTGGAGCACGAGGCGAAATGGAGCACAAAGCTGCATCCATGGGCAGCCAGCAGACACGGAGCACGAGGCGAAGCATAGCATGAAGATGCATCCATATGCGCCGTAATGGTATCATTATTGAATGCCGCCCCCTCTTGGACCTATGTTCAATAACCATCACATGGTCATTATAAGAAACTAACAAAGACACTGAAGAACAGTGGGGAGCTAGACATTTTTTTATTTGCCTGGCACTTCATAGAGGAGATTACACTAACAAAGACACTGAAGGACAGTGGGGAGCTAGATAATTTTTTTTATTTGCCTGGCACTTCATAGAGGAGATTACACACTTTAGTTTCTGCACTTATGAGCATATACAATAGGAGGTTCCGTTGTGATGATGAAAACATCTTTAGATGGGCAAGTTCTTTGAGTACCAAAATATCACACAGTCATAGTTCAGAATGCTAATATAGGTGACATGCTGCTATTACTATAAATCAACAGTCACCTTCCATTTCCTGGTGGCAATTGTACTTCTGGATCCAATGGTATAAATGCCAGTCCAGAGCCACTAGAGCTTGAAGCAGACCTGCGACTTAACCCTGCTAGAGATTTACATCATTGACTGTCTATATAAGCACAGACAAATTAAACTTATTCACTCTTCGACTTACCAGGACTTCCAGGACTAACACTATGGTCACTTCGCAGAGTATCGTAAGCTCTGTCATACTCTGCACTCATGTTTGCTCTGAGTTTTTCAATGCCATCTGTGAAGTCCATCGACAGACCACCTGTGTTTCCATATCATACTCTCCCCCAGCCTGAAAATTCAACCACTCATCAGGGACAAATCTAATGATAATTATGATCAGCTCACTAGGGAAGGGTGTTATTTGTTGGAAAGCCAGGTTTCCAGCAGGTGGGACACGGAGGGATCTTCGTCGAGTCGGATACCCTGGGCAAAGGCTAGGAAGATGTTATACGGACCTAGGCTCAATTAGGGTTTCATAAATGCATTCACCCACTCTCCTGGTTTGCTCTTGGTATTTGGTGATGTTTTCTGCTGCTTCTAATCTTGTGCCTTCGATTGTTTCTTTGGAGTATTCTTCATCCGCTGCCAAGACCTGTTTCATTACCTGGAGGCTTTGATGCTTGATCTCCTCGGGTAACATTGCTTCTTCGTCATACAGGAGCTTGAACGGTGTAAAGCCCGTCGTCCTGGATGCTATGGTGTTATGAGACACACCACCTTCGGTAGTTCCTCTACCCATTTACCTTTGCGGAGGTTAAATAGAGTTTTCGAGATTGCTGAAAATATTACTCTGTTGGCTCTTTCTACTGCTCCATTTGACTCTGGATGATAGACTGATGCGATGGCTATTTTTGTGCCTATGTTTTTGCATAATTCTTTGAATTTGTCTGAGTTGAACTGCTTCCCATTGTCAAGTGTTAGGGTTCTTGGTACCCCAAACCTGTAGATTATATTCTGCCAGAAGATTTTTTTCACTATTTCTGAAGTGATTGTTGCTAGTGGCTTGGCTTCAATCCATCTTTGTGAAGTACTCGATTGCTACTACTGCAAATTTGTTTCCCCTTGCGATGGTGGTAGTGGCCCGATGAGGTTCATGGCCCATCTTTGCAGTGGCCAAGTGGGTGAGATGAGTTGTACTATGGCCGAAGGCTTAGACTGATGTGGGGAGGTGCTCTGGCATGCTTCACATGTCTTAACGATTTGCTCGGCATCTTTGATGTACGTGGGCCAATAAAATCCCTGCCTGATTGCCTTCGTGGACAGTGCTCTTGGGTCAATGTGAGAGCCGCATTCTTCTGAGCGGATCTCTTGGAGGAGCTCTTTGCCTTCGCTTTGATTTATACACTTGAGCAATGGTTAGACTACACCTTTTTTGTACAATATGCCATCTATCAGCATGTAGCTTCTTTCTCTGGCTGCTATTCTTGCTGTGCTTGCTTCATCTTCTGAGTGGTGCACATTGTTCGAGTAATCTGTGATCAACTGTCTCTAGTCTTCAAATTTAGTGAGTAGGACTGTTTTGAATGCTTTCGCGGTTACTTGTGTTGCTGGCACTTGTAGTACTTGATAGAATGCTCCTTCTGGTGTGGACAAATTGTTTGCTGCTGCCTTCGCCAGTTCATCCGCCCTTGCATTTTCTGCTCTTGGTATGTGCTTCAGGGTGAATCCCTGGAACCTCCGCTCAAGTGCCCTTACTGTGTCTAGATATTTGACCACCTCGGGTTCTCTTGCCATATACTCCTTTTTGAGTTGTCCAGCCATAACTTGGGAGTTAGTTTTTGCTAGTACCCTTTTTGCTCCGAAAAGTGCTTTCGCTTTGTTAAGGCCCAAGTGTGATGAGGCCTTCATATTTTGCTATGTTATTCGTTGCTTTGAATTCTAGCCTTGCCACATACTTCGTTCTAAGGCCTGATGGTGCTATCAGTATGGCGGAGGCTCCGGCTCCTATGTGCCCCGAGGCTCTATCTGTGTAGAGTGTCTAGATTTGAGCTTGGGGTTGTTGTGTTTGGTGTGCCTAAGGTGTCCAGTCTACCATAAAGTCTGCTAACGCTTGTGATTTGATTGCTATTCTTGATACATAATGGAGTTCAAACTGGGATAACTCAGTTGCCCATTTCCCTATTCTTCCGGAGGCCTCTTTGTTGCTGAATATCTCTCAGAGCGGTTGTGATGAAGGTACTGTGACCTCGTGTACTTGGAAGTAATGCTTCAACTTTCTTGATGAGATTAGGACAACGTATGCTATTTTTTCAATCTCCGTATAGTTCAACTTAGCTCCTGATAGGGCTTCTAAGATGTAGTAGATAGTCTGTTGAATGACCTTCGACTCTCGTTCCTTCTCTTGAACTCGGACCCCACCGATGCATGGTCGAGGTCATGACATATAACAATAGTGGTGCCTATGGGTCTAGTATCGTCACCAAGAGCTTGCTAGCTATGTAGCTTTTGAGTTGCTAAAAAGCCTTCGACTGTTCTGGCCCCCATTCCACCTTGTCTCCGCCTCTTAGGGCTTTGAAGAACGGGAGGCTGCATTCTACTGATTTTGAGATAAATCTATTTAACACTGCTATCCTTCCATTAAGCTTTTGGACTTCCTTTTTGGTTGATGGTTCAACCATTGAGATTATAGCCTTCATTTTTTCTAGGTTTGCCCTTATGCCTTCAGGCCCAATGATGTACCAAGCATTTTTCCTCTGCTGACAGCGAAGATGCACTTTTCTAGGTTGAGTTTGAGGCCTACTTCCTTGAGATTGGTGAAGGTTTCTTTTAGATCTGCTATGTGATCTTCTTCATTCTTGCTCATTACCACAATGTCATCAACATAAGCTATAATATTTTTCTGTAGCTGAGGGCCAAGAACCGCCTTTGTCATTCTAGCAAAGATTGAACCTGCATTTTTTAGCCCTTCGGGCATTCTGATGTAGTAATAAGTTCCAAAGGGAGTAGTGAAACTTGTCTTCTGCTCATCTTCTTTGTTGAGCCAGATTTGGTGATATTCTGAGAAGCAATTCAGGAGTGAAAAGCGCTTGCATCCCGCCGCCTTGTTGACGGAGGTATCGATCCTTGGTAGTGGAAATGGGTCTTTTTTGCAAGCTTTATTTAGATCTGTGAAATCTATGCACATTCTCATTTTCCCATTTTTCTTTGGCACCAGTACTACATTTGCCAGCCACTCTGAATATTTGACTTCTATGATAACCTTTGCATCTAGCAATCTCTGGACCTCTGCCTTCATTACTAGAATTTTGTCTTCTGACATTTTTCTTTGCCACTGCTTTCTTGCCCTTACTTTTAGATTCAAGTCGAGTGAATGCTGAATTATGTCTCTGCTGACTCCTTGTAGATCGGAGGCTGACCAGGCGAAGACATCATTGTTTTTGGCTAGGGTCTCTATTAGTTTTGCTTCTTCTTCCTTTGAAAGTTTGCCTTAGATAATTACTTTTCTGTCCGACACTACGTTCTCTAGGGGGCTGATTTTGTTTCTTCTTGGACCTTGAGATCTATTTTGCCCTTCGGTATATTTGGAGGCTTCGGTGCATTGTTGCTGGCCGTCTCAACGGTATTGATATTGCGCTGGGACTTGTAGATGACTCTTTCTATGCTTCTTTCCTCCTTCTGGCTGTCGTGGACTGTGATGATGCTTGTGCAAAGGTGCATTTTCATGCACAAATAACCCATATGGATTGCTACATTGAACTTATTTGCAAACCTTTTGCGAAAATGGCGTTGTATGGGTAGTAGAGGTCTACTACGCCAAAGGTTACATACTTGGTTTTGCATTTTCTTAACTTATTTGAAGGACACTGGCAGAGATTTTTTCCCAATGCGTCAATTTTCTTTCCTCCGCTCCGAAGCCAATCAATGGGGAGTCCAAAGGCTGTAGTTGGCTTCTGCTTAACTTCATCTGATCGAAGGCATTGACGAAGATGAAATATGCTAAGCTCCCAGAGTCTATCAGGACCCTGTTAATTTCCTAGCCTACTATATTGACCTTGATCACCATAGCGTTGGTGTGTGGATAACTTTCCAATTGCAAGTCTTGCTCTAAAAATGTGATGGGTGTCTTCGACCATCTGTGCAGCATACTGAACCCTGCACTGCTATGTTGTTGACAAGCCTGAGATGATCTTTCTTTTACTTCTTTGTCTGGAATTCCATTGAAGAGCCTCCGGCTATTGGTAGTATCATACCAATGGTGGGTTGAAAGGTCCTAATGGCTATAGGGGGGATGAATAGCCTATTAAAAATTCTATAACAACACTAAGGCAAGTGATTAGTAAATAAGATGACGAAGCGAATTTTGCGCTAGCACTACACTTGTGTTGCAAGCCACCTACCCAATTCTAAAATCTATGATCTCTAGTATATCACAACAAGGCTTAGTCACTAATTTACACCTAGGTGAGCAAGCTAGCAAGAGAACTACAACTAAGAGCTAGACTAACTAGTTTCAATTACCACAAGCTCTACACAAGTAAGGCACAATGTAATACAAGAGAGTGGTAGAGAGGTATACCGCCGTGGCAAGTGATCAATCAATGAATACCAAGGGGACAATCAAGACACAATGATTTTTCCTCTGAGGTTCAATTGCTTGCCGGCAAGCTAGTCCCTGTTGTGGTGATTCACTCACTTGGAGGTTCACGCGCTAATTGACATCACACGCCAAACCCGCAATCGGGTGTTGCACAACCAACACAAGATGAGGATCACACAAGCCATGAGCAATCCACTAGAGTACCTTTTGGCTCTCCACCGAGGAAAGGTCAATAACCCCTCACAATCACCACGATCAGAGCAGGAGACAAACACCTTCCTCTGCTCAACGATCCTCGCTGCACCAAGCCATCTAGGTGGCTGCAACCACCAAGAGTAACAAGCAAATCCCGTAGCGAAACACGAACACCAAGTACCTCTAGATGTAATCACTCAAGCAATACACTTGGATTCACTCCCAATCTCACAAAGATGATGAATCAATGATAGAGATTAGTTGGAGGGCTTTGGCTAAGCTCACAAGGTTGCTATGTCAATGCAAATGGCCAAGAGAGTGAGCTTGAGTCAGCCATGGGGCTTAAATAGAGCCCCAACCAAATAGAGCCATTGGGCTCACACTGCTCTACCTCCACGTGGTGACCGAACACACAGGTCCGACTAGACGCAGGACCCCAGCATTCGGTCCGCGAATCTACGTTGTGTGTTCCTTCCTTTGATTCTCCACCGCATGATCCCAACGGTCAGATTCGCC